TTGCAAACCCAAAATGTAAGAAATAAAGTAAAGTTGGTATACCCTATTTGAAAAATTATCACAAAAGGCCATTCAACCATTCATCTACAATCATATTAAATCTATAGTCCATAACCATCTCCATACATTAATAATCTAATTACGAACATATAAGTAAATACAAAGATGCTTCATATGATGATGATCTTGCATTTCTTTTGAAAAATGTCATCCAACATTTGAAGACCATAATTCCAATAACTAGGCACATTCTTGTGAAAAAATAATTTGCAAAGCACCTTAATTAAATCATTTACTAAAATGATTAATCCTATTAACAAATTCAGTCAAATTAAATCTAATTTGAAAATCTATCTAGATTAGTAGTTCATTCTAATTGAACTTATTTTAATTAGAATCCTAAACCATTTAGGAAACTTTACTAATTTAGATATCCATCCTGAATGTTAGGAAAGTTTCGTAATTATTTAAGACACTCAAACATTTTTGGAAATATGTCAACTATGTTCTAACACATTAGGAAACTTGCATATGTGCTCCTAATCAAACTTGAAGTGTTGTCTTAAATAGATAATGTGTACTAAACACTTTAAGATTTAGCCTTATCCATTTAAATATCTTGTAATAATTATCTTACCATTTAAGACTTCTAATCCATGTAAGAATCTTTAAATGATTTGGTTAGATAATTCCTTTTTTAATTAAATTTGTGTAATTGGATTACATTGATATCTTCTAAAGATTATCCATCAAATTTAACTAAAATAATCTAATCATTATTAGATCTTAATTGGCCAATCAATCCTATTGATTTAAGAGTTATCTAATCTTATTGGATAAGATTTTAACTAAGAGAGTTGATATCAATTAATTCAAAATTAATTGATTCCATCTTACACCCAAACTCCTTGATTTTAGGCATGCATCCTTAACATTTAGGGAGTCAATGATCAACTAAGGAAAGAATCCTTCCTGATCATTAAGTGTCTAATTTCTCCACCAAACAACCTTTTTTCAGAAAACAATTGCATCCATGGCAATGGGATGTGCGGCATCCATGTGTAGTGGCACCATGCACAACCTTTGTCATGAGTGTCATTTCACATGTGAAGGGCATTCCTCTAATTTAGGTATGTGTCCAACCACTCAAAAAATTAATTGAAATTCAAAATTTTATCCTTTAATTGAGCTTCTCAAGTACATAATTAAAAATTATTTAATTAAGTTGTTGGGCTTAATTAATTAAATTATTCAATTAAATCATTGGTCTTAATTGATTAAAATTGTTTAATTAAGTGGTTAAACTTTTTGAAGCCTATTTTGGTGGTTTAACAAAAGATTCATTAACTTTTGTTGTTTTGGTAAATTGATATAATCAATTACTTTATTTATTAATTTAATTTCGTACTCAATTTGGCATGAAAGAAATCTATAAGGGTGAAACGTAATTCAATTTGTTAATTTTATTTTCACTGCATTTTATATGTATATGATGCATGATCAACCCTCACCCAACAATATCTACTCACCTAATTGGAGACTCAATCCTTAACTCTAATCAAAACTTATCTCCAACGAATTCCTCAGAGTTTTCAACCGTTGCTAGCATATAACAATCATCACAATCAATAAGTTAGCCTAATAATCTCATAATAATCATTTCCAGTACTTTGGAAACTACTTAGATTCAACTAGAATTAGTTTTTAACTTAAACCCACTACTACTTAATATAATACATACTTAGAAATCGATAAATCTTTTATCGTTACCTTAAGTGAGCTTAGATGCTTAAGAAAATCATAAAACCTTAAACTTTAGCAATCAATAGAAACATTTGGGCACATAAACAATATTTTCAATGTTAGAAAATCAAGATTCAAGGATTTCAAAGTTAAAAATATCATCTTATTTCCATAAAAACTCAAAACTAAGCTTTCAAATCATCAAAAATGGTGTTTGGACTAAAAATGGATAGAAAGAGCATTAGAGTTCCGGGTTTACCTAAGAAAAATGGTTGAAGGTTGCTAACTCTCGCAAAATGAGACCTATTTATAGCTTGGAGTGTGAAACTACAATTTTGCTTTTTTTATTTTTTTTTAAAACAACTAAATGTATCACTACATTAGGATAATGTATCGATACATTTGTTTCTAAAAAATTTCTATTTGTACATTTGGCTATGTACCGATAAATGTTCATCAAATTCTAAATCTATTGATATATTTGGCCATTTATCAATGCATGTTCTTTGAATCCACTTTTAAAAGCCTTTTGGATTAAATTTATCGATACATGAGAGTCATGTATTGATACATTTACTCTAGTATGCATAAATACACTTAAAAACCTGTCCAATTGGACTCCCTTCAACATCTAACTTTGCCAAACATCAAAGTATTTTAAAACATGAATTTTTTTAAACCAAATTTAATGTTTCAAATAAAAATTTTCACATGTTCACCTAAGGATTTCTCAACTTATCTTTTTATTTAGGTTGGGATTTAACATGTTTAATGGCTATTGGGTGGTGTCACCTATGTCCCAATTATGTGTAAGAATCTAATATTGTTGAGCCTAAAATACTCTAAAGTACATTAATTTTTTCCTGTGATAAAGTGATAAAAGTCACACAAGCCGACATAGACTTGATGAAGGAAAATTTGCTTAATTGTTGGTATCATCTATAAGGTGAGGCCTTAAAATGATGGGAATAATGCATAGGGTATGGTAGCTATTTCACTTATTAGTGAGGTGATGAAAAGTTCCCATGATACAGACAATGGTGAAATGACTAAAGACCTTGGTAGTGTTGGTGAATTGCAATAGTCATTGAGATCCTTCTTTGAAGTCAATATGTGTCATTGACATAAGAGCTACACATGTGCATTTTTGTTTGTGGAACTAAGTGTTGGACCATGTTTTATTTGTTCTGTGTAACCGGGGTAACTTTGAAGGCCAATGGTTTGGAAGTTCAAGTGTTTCGAGAGTTATTGAAGGTGTTAGAAGGGAGCTGGATTTAGAACTGGGCATAACTAGTGGAAGAAGTTTAAGGAGTTTGAATTTAAGTCAAAGGTGAAGATTTGTTAATTTTTGTGTTAACTAGAATTAAAAGACTAATTCGACTAGGTTTCTTGCTTTTGTATAATATTAAATAATTGCACAATATTAAATTTCTTGTTCCACATTGAGTCATAGTCCTATATACTTTGAACTTTCATACTATAAAAGTGGGCCTTTAGCTTTAGAAATGAAATAGCGCTTTTAAGAGCTTTATTAAGGGAACACTTTATAACTTAGTTTTTTGCTCTAGGTGGAGTGAAAGTTGGGTGGAATGAGTGTTCTTGTGAGAAAAATGAGAGAGTGTGTGTACAAACAAACATTAGATTGGTTTGGGAAACAATTAAGAGAGATTTTATTATATTTTAATTTTTTAATAGTAGAAGATGGGGTTTTATTTTTTTTCTAGAAGGCAATGGCTAATCCATTCCCCTTTTCCCTAGATGAAACTTATTACTTTGTATGGTTGGTTTTTATATCAAGAATAACAATTCCTTAAAAATACAAAATTACTAATATTGACCTCTTTGACAATAGTTATTCGAAGCTTCATGGAATACAGCTCAAATAGTTATTGACAAAAGAAACCTTACTTATTATGAGAAATTACTAATCTTACCATATAAAATATCATATTAATATTTTAATAGAAAATATCAAATTCCTAATATTTTAGTAAAAAGGAAATTATAAGAGAAAAAAGAAAAAATTAAAATAGATATAAAATTAAAATAAATTGAAATAAATATCATATGAATATTTTAATAATAAATTGTTAATATAAAAAAAGTAATGAAGTTCAAATAAAAATCATATTTATAATCAATTACTGATATTTTCATAACAAATTATTAATACTTTAATGATAAATTATGAATATAAAAATAAAAAGAAATTAAAATAAAAGCATAGCAATATTTCAAAAATAAACTATTAAAATAATATTATTCTATTAAATTAATAGGTAGCAATTTTTACAGAAGAAAAAAACCTATTAAATTAATATGTTTTTAATATTTTTAAAAGAATAAAATAGAAAAACAGAAAATTAAAATTCATAAAAAATAAAAAGGAACTAACATAAAATGTCATATTTATATTTTAATTATAAGTTATTAATATTTTTATAATAAGTTATTAATAGTTGAATACTAAATTACTTATTAATACTTTTATAATATTTTCTTAAAAAAGAAATTAACAGAGAAAGATGGAAAAATGAAAATAGTGAAAAATAAAAATCATATTAATAATTTAATAATAAAATATTAATTTCTATAGCAAATTATTAATATTGTTTTATTAAAAATTGAAAGAGAAAAATAGGAAAAATAAAATAATAAAAATCATAATAATATTTTAATACTAAAGCTTAATATTTGTTTGATAACATATTAAATTATTATTTATTAATAGCATATTGCCAAAAATAATGAGTTCTAAAAACATCAAAAATTTAGTAAATTATAATAAAAGATATTTTTATAATTTTATCACTTATTTCTTTATTATTGAAAAATTATAACATTGGAATTTTTTCAAAAACACAATCAAACATTGAAATAACAATGAAACACAATTTTTTTCGAAAACAGTTGACGCGTTACGGTGGGAAGGTAAGGGGGTTATGTGTTGAGTAAGAAATTTGAACATGAGTGAAAAGTTTACTGGGGGGAACCTCAAGAACAGGAGCCAAGAAGTCTAATGAATTGTTGTCCTTGTATTTAAGATCTTAACAGATTATTTTATTTTTTATTTTTAAAAATAGACAAACAATTAATAAAAAGCGACAATAGCATTTCTGGACTAATTTCTCCTCCAACTTTTTCAGGGACAAACCTTAACATGTCAATTCATAATTGATTAAGAAATACAATAAATTTTTGGGGGCAAAATATCCTTTCCGTGGCCACTCCGTCGAGTCCCCATTTGCACTTTCCGGGACAGCTTACCTTAAAAAAGTGCATATATACATCCAAACACCTCTCGTTATCCCCAAAAGGCTTTGAATAACAAGAAAGACTACACGCTCTCCCATGCCCTCCACGTGTCCTATCTTATCCACTTCTCCGCCTTTTCAAATCTCTTGCATCCGTTCCTACTGTAACCCCTCTAATCCCACTCCCCAATCATTCACAGCTGTCCCAGGTGTCCCCAGTATTCCCTGTCACCCAGAAAAGTACAACAAATCTGACTTTTTAGACCGCAGACGATAATCTCCCTTCCTCTATCCAGAAGGGCTAAATAGTGTAGTGTTCTTTTTTAGCTTTCTTCATTACCAAAGCCGAAATCTTCTCTGAGAAATTCCCCGTTTTTCATGGCGACCACTCTTGCGTGCTCTCTCTCAACCCCAATCCGGGCCTCCTCCGGATCTTTTGGAAAACCCGACCCAAATCGTAGAAAACCCGTTTCTTCCTCATCGTGGTGGGCCCCTCTTTTCGGGTGGTCCTCCAATCCCGAGTACCTCAACGATAGCAATGCAGGCGGCCCTTCGGAGAGCAAACCGGATGTTCCCGATCCGGGGCGATCCAGATCCAGATACACGCTCGGGTGCTTCACCGAGGAGAAAGCAAAGCAACTTCGAAGGAAGACGATGGAGAACGCGGCCTTTCACGATATAATGTACCACTCGTCGATCGCGTCTCGTCTGGCCTCGGATATATCGGGTTGGCTCGAGAAGTGATTGAAAGCCTACTAAGTATCGGGTAAGGGTAAAGCAATAATTTGTCGAAATGAAATCTATGTAGAACTCCTACGCTGTGTTTTTTTAAATCTCGTTGGAATTCTGGGTAATGTTTGAGTGCAGGCAGTTAATTTTGGTTTGTAATATTGATTTTAGACCGTTGGATCATTGATGGTCGGTGATGCATTGTCTCTTAGGCCTTTTTAGCTTTGCTCTTCTGATTTCATGTGTCGATAAACTTGTTCCGTCTTCTATACGGTGGGACCAGCAATCCTCGAACCTGTTTGATGACGTGGATGGCTGGTTTTTGATATTGAAAAGATTATCAGTTATAATTATTAAATTCGAGGTACTGCTCTGCCCTCCCTTGGTTTTGGTCGCCTACAGAAATCCTTAACAAGGGGCAGGCTGACTTTGGACTGTGTTGCTGATACTTTAGTCGACAATCCCAATTTGTTATCCCACCAAAAGACTAAGCTTAGGTTAACATTTTTATCTAAATATTGGATTTAATGGTAAATATATTTTTTATTTTTTATTTTTTTAAAAAAGGGTTTGCATTTCAATAAATTCTTTATAACTAATGTAACTGAACAAGCCGTACCTATTAAAAGTTAATATATTGTAAGAATGTATTTGATACG